TCGTGCTCGTGTGACTCACTATGCTCGCGAATAATGTGGACGATATGACAAGTCACGAGACAAGCATATTTTTAATTTAAAAACTATAGCCAATAAATTAAAATACGACTACAGCCTGTGCACACTACGAGTAAATATACGGATCCTCACGCTCCGAAGCCTGGCGAGCAACTGAAGTAGTGTGGACGAAGATTTACGAGCACAAGTAAAAGCCAGACGAGTCTCTCGACGAGCACGATTAATGTGGACGCGCGTTAATCGCAAAGCTCTCTCTCGGCTGCGTTCGTCGCATACAGGTTTTTTGGTATACTTCATCTGCTATGGGAACGAGGGTGCGTCATGGTCACTTGGTGACGTAGGCCGTTACGTCATCATTAGGAAGTTGCTAGATTCTATTTTCAACTCACTTCCAGTGTTCATACGCCGGTGGGAAGTTTAAACGTACTTCACACTCTATGACGTACCCTTGTTCATAGAGCAGATGACCTATAAAGTGGGCGCACTGTTTCGCTAATAGTCGGACATGTACAGACAGGAACATGTTCGCGCTCAGATTTGCTGGGTTTTCGGACCTTCTCCATCGTCCGGTATTCTAGAAGCTAGATAAAACAGCGTTTCGGAAATTGTATCTGTTTCCATCCACAGGTGAGGGGAGACACCTACTTTGTTGGGTCCCTCAGTAAGAGCTGACATCAACCCACACACCTCCATATATAGTGGGAACGGGGATTGTTTCCTTGGAGTAAAGCAGCCGGAGCGTAAAAGGGACCACCCCCGCCCGTCTGTTCTCTGTGTAAGATATTGTCACGTGACCGAGTATGACTGTAGACGAGGTTTGGATTGGTAATTGGATCTTTTGGACATTGAAACAACTCGTGAATGCACATCACAGATCACACTCACACACAGACTAGTGTCCTTAGTCACGTTGCTTGGTAATGGCTCCCAACGGTGGTCGTTCCTCTGCTTCTGGGCTCACGTCTTCGTAGGCTAGCGACCCTCCTCAGAGTCATAGTTACTTTACGACAGGCTGTTTAGCGACAATTCTTTCGTCTTGGCGCCAAGCACCATGAGACTCACGACCAGAGATTTTTTTTTCGTCATACCGTCTCAACCTCATATATATATAT